CACACACAAATCTTTTTTACGCACACACAAATTCTTTTTACACATACAAATCTTTTTTACACACACACAAATCTTTTTTACACACACACAAATCTTTTTTACACGCACAAATCTTTTTTACACACACACAAATCTTTTTTACACACACACACAAATAAATCTTTTTTACACATACAAATCTTTTTTTACAAGTACAAAATATTTATGACCACATTTTGAGCCCATATTCAAGTCTTCTTTGGTTTCAGTAGCTAAAGACTTGCATTGATTCAGTTTAAATTAAATAATGTAAGGAAACACTAATAAGCTTCTTAATTTCTTATTTGAAAGAGACAGACATTTCTGTTCTTCAGGATAAAATCAATTTGAGCAAATTCTTGATCCTTCATGTTCTACCAGTAAAGTGGTACAGTCCAATATTTCACTTTACTCATGCAGCAAATAAGTCTTTAGTCCTTCATTAAATGTAATCATGTGAAACCTAATGTTGTGCCCTTAAACAGGGGGAATAGTGAGGAGAGATGAATGAATAATACTTACACCCAGCTCTAGCTTTCACTCGTCTGTATTGAGTCTAACAAAAACAACACAATCAGAACCACATCCTCGTTGCTTTGATACACTCAGTCTAAGGACCACAGTTTCCAACTAAGGCTGCGTTCACACTGCAAGTCTTAATGCTCAATTCAGATTTTTTGATCTAATCCAATTTTTTTTGTCTGCTTGTTCACACTACAAATAAAATGTGACAGCAAACGTGCTCTAGTGTGAACCCTCAAAGAGGCCCACATGCGCAAAAGAAGACGTCACACAACGCGCTCTGTTTAGACCCAGACCAAACAGTATTGTTTGACTGATGGCCCTTAATGTAAAGAGTTGTTTCGGACTTTGTTTCCCAATTGTGCTTTAAGTTATAAAGTTATGGTGTTATTTACATATGGCCTAATAATTATCCTTATTGCTGTTTTAGAGAGGAGCGGTGCTTCAAAGGATAGTTGCAGTTTTCTGTCAGAATCTGCAGATTATACAGTACAAATAAAATGTTCATGTTTCACTGGATGGCCAGGAAGCGTTCACGATGTCTTCTCGGGCGCTTCTGCGATGCTGATAATTGGCGTCTGTCTTGTGTCAGTGACGTAACGCGACATGACCATTCAAACAGCAGTCGCTTTCTAAAACATCAGATATGTATCGGATTCAGTACCACAAACGAAAGTGCTAATTTAGTTTAGCTTTCCAATTCAGCACAATTCAGTTATTAATCAAAAGGTTGTGCTTACCTTTAATTTAGTGGGCCCCGTCCACCCGATTGATCTCCTGATTCCTGTCCGTCTGACACTGGACTCTGTCCTCCTCAATTTAACACTCAGACTCACATCAACCGGGCAGAAACGCCAAAAACTGTCCCGATTCTTTTTTGATGTGCTGAGAATAAACAACCAATACTCAGATCAAGTCCAGTCAACAACAATTATTTATTAAACACATATGTGGGAGATGTACACAACGTCACCCTCTGCATAGATCTCAAAGAGGAAGCATATGTCATACTGTTTTATATGTCAGGTTTCACACCCCCTCATGCGTAAGCAGATAACATAACACGCGTCAATTACTGTTAGTGACAGTAAGACACAATTCCTTTTTCCGTGATCTTATGCAATTACTTAGAATCTTTCTTAACTGCCTCTTGCCCCAGGGTTTCCTTTTGTTCTCTCTTAGCAGAGCAAACGCACGCCATGCATGAATTATATGCAACATTCTCTGACTTGAATAAATTAGTTTAACATTTAAACCTATTTTCTACACATTCCCGCACATAAAATAAAATAGTTTTTGTGTTTACACTCACTCTTTTAAATAGATACAAGTAAAACACAGCAGAAAATAAATAAAATCAAAGACTCAGCGATCCTGTTGCTCTATTTTCACCTGTAAAGCAGGACTGTGG